GAGTTTCAAAGGGGATGAAGAACAGAACAGGTGGAGTAAAAAACACAGAAGACAAGCATCAGGAACAATGGAAAGCTAGCTTTGGAAGATCAGCAAAAGAGCAGAACCTGGAAGAGTTCTGGTTTTTTTTAATGCAATACCCACAAGGCCCCAGATAGAAGGGATTTGAAGTCTAAAGAGTAATTTTTCCAAGCTCTGAGTGTAAAAAAAAGGAGAGAGAGAGAATTGGTCTGCACTAGGGAGAGGATACAGGAAGTGGGGCCTCTTTATCAGCACCGCTGTTCAATTCGTCACCCTGAACTGTTTCAATTCTGGTTGTTCTTTATAAGAACTATTTAACTTTTAAAAAAAACTGAGTCTGTTTGCTTTGTTCCTCTTCCCTCCCCATCCTTTTTTTCTTTAAGAGCCATGTCTTTCTGATTGTAAAACATGCAAGTCCTGTCTTTGCAAACATTTACACTATACTTGCATACATTGGGAAAAACACTATATAATGTAGAGGGCTGCAAAGATATTTCAAACAACCATGCTCACATGATTCTGTGCTCTGAAGTTCTAATATGTGAATGGGACCTGAAAAGGACTATTGTTTGAGAGCAGGAAGATGGGTTAAAAAGTAGGTTGTACTTTTCTGGGTCTTTGAAAGCCCTCCTTCTCAGCCAACATTGACCATAGATATTTTCCATGTTGAAACACCTGAGGCAAGAAGTCAAAATAGCCTCTCCCATTTGAAGACAACTGTGTTAATATAGTGTCCATATCAAGGGAGGTAATAAGACCATTCTACTATTCTGTTTTGGTCAGACCTTATCTGGAGCACTGTGTCCAGTTCTGAGCACCTCTGTTTAAGAAGGGAGAAAGGTAGAATTTCAAACCAACACTCCTGGCTTGATTTTGCAGCTGTCTTATGCATCTAGCCATGATTTTTGGAACTCTTGCTTTTTTTTCCTTCTCCCCCAGAAGAATAGGATAAGCAGTGGCCCTTCTGATGAAGGCCCATATGGGCCAAAAGCTAACATTTGCTTTTAACCATTTAGTGATCTAAAAGTGGCATCACCTATGCTTGTCCCTGGACAATGTACAAAGGAAGTTGACCAGCTGAAATGTGTCCATAGGTGGAAGACCAAGACAGTAATGAGTCTGGAAACCCTATAGGGAACAAATCATGGAAATGTTACATTTGGCCTGGAGGAGAGAAACCGACATTGTAATATGACCACTATCTTCAGAAATCTGAAAGGCTGTTATAAGGGAGATGGAGCAAGCTTGTTTCTTGCTACTCTACAGGATAGCACATGAATTTGAATTATAAGAGAGGAGACCCCAATGAAACATGAGGAAGAACATCTGGGTGCTGAGACCATGAAATGGAATGCCTCAGAGGTTGACAGAGTCTTCTTTATTAGATGTTTTTAAACAAAGTTTGGAGACATGCTTTAGTGGTGGATCTTGCATTGGCATGAAGCTTTAGTCCGGACAACGAATTTTCACAAGCTACACTCTTCAGTAGAAACACTGAGAACCAAGTTCATTGGGGTGCAAGGAGGGGAAAAAGTCAGCAGGGAATTTGGAACAAAATGTAGGAACCTTGACATTAATTCAAACACAAGTTTGAACCATGAAATTAGTTCCACTCCTTAAAGATCTCATGACCCAGGGAGCAAACAGTATTCCCTTTGCAAAACTGATGAATTGGGGGGGGGGGATACTGAGGAGAGCTGTGAAGATAAGTAAGCAAGACAGAAGACAAGCTATAGAAAAGAAGGTTTGGAAGAAATTCTTATAAAATTAGCCCAGAAAGAGGGAAACCACCAAATGGGAACATGCTGACAGATTTCAAATATTTAATGGATGTCAGCCAGAAGGAGAGAAAAAAACCAATTAGTCATCATAAATGCTCAGAGCACAAAAATAAGCAATGGTGGTTTTCAGTAATAGGAGAAGGGGATTTAGGGAAGATCTGAATAAAAAGACAAGGAACGGCAATGGAATAAGTGCCTGAAGAGGAGGTACAACTGTATATTTTTGAAGCAGAGGTTAAATAGAACTTAGCAGGGGCCCTTAGAGATAAGAGAGGTTCCTGTTTCTCTTCGACTGCCCACTGGGAACATTGATGAACATGAAGAGAGAAAAGGAGCAAGCATACACAAGTAGCAGATTGAGAAGAATGGGAAGGAAGAAGAGTTAACTCAAGGGTCCAGAAGAGATGCAAGGATGAGCAGAGAGGCATTCTCTTTGTGTTATTAGTATCATAGAAGTGGTGGAAACAACGAGTCTTCTGATACGTTTAAGACTAAAAACGTTTACGGTCTTTATTGTGAGGTTTTCTTGGACATAGCCTACTCTTTTAGATGCTGAATTCCTTTGTGAAGTTGATACATTTTTACTTTGTAGAGTTAAATATGGTGCCTGCTGTTAAAAAAAAAACGTTTTTCAAGGAGGATGCCCTATTAATCTGTTGTACTGCAAGCCGCAAACTGCCTTGCTACAGTTCCAAGGCCAACAGGTTTTATTTGACATAAGCTTTCATAGACATGGACCTTCCCTACGAATTCTGACTTCAGTTGTGCAAGGAATGGTTTCAATTATAAACCTTTTCCTTATCATAAAGGCCAGCCCAAGACATTTTGGTGCTTGGAAAGTAAAAGTAAAATTGCATCCACCTTTTCTTCTGCTATGTAACATGACCCACCCAATCCATTGGATGTTTTCCTGCACGGTCTCCATTAAATCAAGTGGATGATGTGGAAGAGTAAGACTCCTCCCTGGGCTCCTGAGATGTTCCCATTCATCTCATGGGAGACAAGGTTCCAGAGAACTTCCTCATGGATCGTTCCTTAGGGGTGAGATGTTTCTCTACCCCACTCTAATGCCCTTGTGATACACAGACCCTACCACTTACAACATCTGCAACACCTTGTTTGTGGCAAGGCCACCATTGCATGAGATTCCCAAAACAGAGTGCAAATAATTATGATGCTGCACTCCACACATATGGCTGGCCCATGATCCTATGGAAACACAGCACTGAGAAATGGAGCTGTTGATGTCTCACGAATACTACAAGAGATCAGGACAAATTGTAACTACAGAGTAAGAAGTTTGGAGAGTCCTATCTTGACCAACGCTGTGATGGAGGTCACAGTCCCTGTGGTCTAGGCTGCACCAGTGATGCTACCTACCATCATGTTTTAACAGACAGAAAAACAGAATATGACAGACATAGAAAAATTACTTTCTTGGACTAGAGCTACCCAAATCTCCCAGCCAGTATACTGTATGTCAGATCTCAGAGTTTGGAAAACATCAAACCTTACTTGAATTAGATGACCAAAAGGGTCCCCCCTGACTCTTTGCCCTGTACAACATAGCAAAACCTCACCAGACCCATTTGTGTGACTGGTTCTGATTAGGGTTGATAATTACATACCCCCTCCCCCCAAAAAGGGCATGGGTCTGCATAAAATGGCACCTACTGATTCATAGGTACAGATTGAAAATCACAAATGTTTTTGTAATTTACACAGTCTGTTCCAGCAAAATGAGGAAGGCTATGATCAGGAAACCTGTGTGCCTGCAGATTCTGCTGTCTAGTCGGTAACTACCAGAAGAGCAACTTCGATGCCCCTCTTCTCTCTGCTTATGGCTTTTTGTTCCTTAAACCAGACAACCCTTCAGATAAATACTTGTTCAGAAACCATCTGTCCTCTGCCAATCCTACCAATAAAAAACTAACCTCTCTAAAAAAGGAGCCATTGTCATCCTAGTTCTAATAAGCCCAGGCATAGACTCCACTTCTGTGAAGCACAAGCCTAGATTTTCCACTAGATATGGGAAGGGAAGTGCTATTGCCAATATTGCTATTCTCTAGCAATATTGGCTTCCAGGACGCTGACAAAACCCCTATCCCACCCACTCCCTTGGTTAGTAAATATAGCCCAATATCCATACACAAATGCTTCCCCTACTTCACTCCCTTCAAAGGCCATGGTACAAACATTAGCCTTTCTGCCTGTCCTGTCACACAATCGTCAAGATCTCTCTATGTAAGGTATATGCTGTGCCTTTCAGCACCCTGCTCCCTGACCTTTCCTGGATCACATTTCCATGACGGCACAGCCGCCTTTGCCTTGAGGGAAGAGGAGAAAACACACACTTACTATTGACACAGGGTAATACATTTAAACACTGGCAAATGCAACATTGACAATGGACCAATTAATACCAGAAAGGGAGAGAGAGAGAGAGACAGACGCACACGAAAATGGTGCCACAAATTAAACACACACAAAAACTCAGCTTAAGATGTCTTGCCTTGATTTACCTCCCCTCCTTGAGTAACCACATTCAAACTTGCCATATTATGTCCTTAATTTTTACTCTAACCACTTGACTGACTTCCTCTCATATATTTGATGCATGCTTATTTTTACAGCCACAGCTTCCCAGTAAGTGCCTGGGGACAACTCAGGGCTGTGAGGCTTCCAGATTACCATTGTTCTTGGTCTCTGCCCATGGTGTAATGAGGTATGGGGAAACAACTTCTTTGACATTGTCTTAAACTGGCTGTAGTGAGAATCCTTGCTTCCGACTTCTTTTGGAAATCCTAGAAGACTTGTTCCTCTCTGGGTGTCTCATGCATTCCCTCCCCCTATCTATCGAACAAGGCAAACTGAAACGAGAGGCTTCCCTCTAAGAAAACCACCCTTCTGCCCATTTGTGCCAACCATATGGCCAGTTTCTACCCTCTTCCAGCTCCAGCAGCTGTCACTGGGTGCAGAAAGGAATCCAGCTGTATAGGGAACGTTCCTGACTGACCGAGATCAGGAGACGTCAGGTTTGACTATTTAGTCAGGGAACATCCATTCAGCCATCCAAAACCTGTATGTTGTCCTTACGGCATTCTCCCTCCTTCCTCAATCTTGCCACCTTTGCTGGACCTTTCCCCAGTCACAAGAAGCCCTCTCCACACCACAAGGAATAAGAAAAGTCTTCCTTACCTTTCAGAGAGAGCCCGCGAGGAACACAAGGAAAACAACCGATAAAGAGATCCAGAGGTAGTTTTGCTGGGACTGTGAGTGACAGCCGTGCGAGTCTTAACGGCAGGCTGGGTGCTTTCTGTCTCTGGCAAAACTTGCAAATACAAACAAGGGCTTTCTGCATGGAAGGCAGAGACACAAGAGCGTGACAGAGAAGGGGGCAGCTTTTCCTGAAAGAGTGTGCTTGTTGTGTGTGCTTGTGGCTTTAATATTCATGCTGTGAGCTGCAGGGGGAGCAAATCAGACATGCACAGCAGGAAAAAAAATGAGCCAAAAAAAAGAGGGGGAAAAAAAAAAGCACAATGTGAAGGAATGGCAAGCGAACCTTGCTCTTCTGTCCGTGGCACAGGGAAGCAAACAATACTTCCCCTACCTGCAAGTCTACAACGGTATGAACCAGCCTCTTTGAAGCGAGCTTGACTCACCTGCCCCTTGAAAAGCATGTTAAGTGCCAGGGGATTCCCACGGCCTCTGCTGGAACATGGCAAGACCTGTCAGGAAAAATTCTGGTAATTGCCGAGTTGGACCAAGACTTTTTGCTGCCTGAGGGACAGCCACAAATCTTCAAGTTCAAGGAGCATAACCCACCGTACCCAAACCAAGTGAGGTATTTGGGCAACTGAAACAGGACAGAGGCAACAGAGTCAGACATGCTTCTGAGCCAGTAGATGGTGGGAATGCTTATGAAAGGAACCCACACATATGGGGGCCACAGGATATGTCCAGAACACAAGTAACCAGGTAAGACCGCTGGAGTTGGGCAAAAGGAGCCATTTTTTAATGGCTGACCAGACAGAAAATGTGCTCAGCAGCTGCATTTTCTACTGCCATTTTTTTTGGCTATTCCGTGCTGCTTTGCTTATGGTATATCTTATATGATATGTGAAGAGTATTTCCAGACCCCACCCAGTTGCTGGGAGTTATGGAAAGTTTGCCAGCAATCGACGGAGAGTGCTCCCCACCCCACTCAGGCCCACTGCTGCTCCCCATCAGGGTCTTGTGCAGCAAGGAGAGGGACACCCTGGAATCAGACTTTCTCCTGTTCCAGCAAAACTTGCCCTGAAATTCCTCTCCCCATTTGGAGACAGGGATAATCTAAGCAATTCCCTGAGAATCCAGCTGATACCCTCAGCCTTGGCAGCCATACTGAAAAAAAGGGGGCGCCGTGCCAATGCAAGACAAACAGAAATTCGGTTCTTAAGATCACAATCGTGTGATTGTGCCATTAAGAGAAGGAGCTGGACCAAACGCTGCAAATTTTCCTGCCCCGTTCTGCTCAGTATTAGCAATTAATATGCCCGACCAGTTGCTATTTAGATTTTTTTGGTCTTAAGCCCTAGAATGTCTAGAAGAACCATCCTGTTCTGTCATTCAGGGTATATGTAGCTGCAATGAAAAACTTACTAAGTTGTCTTAGGCAAGATAATATTTTATGAGCCCCACTGAGAGGTTATTAATTCCCGGTATCACATCACCCCCTTCTCATCACCAATGAAGTAGTGAAAATCTTGCTTTGAATCTTCTAGCCCGCATGAATGCAGGTACACTCTTAGACCAAAACGTTACTTGCAGAATTCCACAGTACAAGTTAAAATCTAACTGTAAAGGGTGTTTTGGAGTTTCCAGTGACACAGCCAGAGTGTGGAAGTGGGGCTGGATTCCAAGAGTCAAGGCACTGAGCCAAAACATTGAAATCATTAACTAGAGATACAAGTGCGCATGCGCATGCACACAGTCACACACACAGAGAGAACGCTTGGTTCATTCTTTCTGGTTATGAAATGTTAAGATGTTACAAGCATGCACAAAATATGCTTGTAGAAGAAATAGATAGACGAAACACAGGCACCCAGAGCTAAGTAGGGGAACATACACCTAAAGATATGTATGAGACTCTTGGAGAGTGCGGGCGGCATACAAGTCGAATGGATAAATAAAATAAAATAAAGAAATAAAGAAATACAGAGTGCTGTACATAGAAACCAGCAGGCATATAAAATAAAATAAAATAAATAAATACACACAGTGCTGTACATAGAAACCAGCAGGCACGATGTGGTAGGAATTCTGACACATGCACAAAGATATGCAGACAGAGAATCCCTACATGTGCATTTGCACACAGCCAGCAACAGCAAAACACAAATTGCAAAATTCATAAATTCATACTCACAAAATTCATAAAGACTCACAAGTACAAACCATAGGAAAAGGTCAGATGTTTAGAAAGGGGGGAGGTGAAAATTTTCAAGGAAGGCATCCACATTGATTATTCAACTGCACATGCAGAATCCATATGCAGGCATCTACAGAGTTACATACGGTTCATCATAATACCGTTTCTGCACATACATAATGTTTTGTTCCCAGTTGTTGACAGAGTGTTTTTTTCCTAGCACTGGACAGATTCAATGAGCCCCCAATGTGATGATCTAAAATTCCAGTCCCTTCAAGTGGTAGATTTCAACTGAATCATGAAGGATTTGTCTCCAATACAAAAAAATGCCACCCCACCCCACCCCACCCTCCTTCGCTGTTTTCGTTGATCCCTTGTTATCCCAGCAGAGATTCCCTGAACTGTGTGTATGGAACAAATGAACGAACAGCATAGTAACTGCCCAGTATGAGCAGCCACGCTATTAGACAAAGACAGTGTTATCTCATCTTTTCCTTCTGTCCTTATTGCATCTGCCCACCTGTGCATTGAGGGAGAGGGGTTGTGCATGAGGGCCTCTATGCAAAACACCCATGGGACACACTGTGCTAGACACTCAAATGCTGCAGGAGGTTGCTACCTAACTGCTGGCAGTGTTTTATAGATGACCCCCCCCACCCTCCCCACACACATGTCCCTTTCTAAACATCATCTTCATGAGAAGTGGCAGAAGAGAAAAGAGAGACTCTGAAGAGTTAACACATTTGCTTAAGTTGCTAAAAGCCCAACACCCCTCAGTCCCAAAACTGGGGCATAGCTAGGGACATCTCAGCCCTGGCCTATAAACCACTACAGATGACCTCGCTTGACGATATTAATTCGTTCCAGCGAAATCACTGTAGAGTGAAAACATCATCGAGCGAAATAAAAAAGCTCATTGAAAACCGTTCAATCCATTCCAATGGGCTGAATACCTGCTTGTCCAGCGAAGATCCTCCATACGGCGGCCATTTTCGGTCCCTGTAAAGCGAGGAATCCATCCTAGAAAACAGTGGGGGGCCACTTTGAACAGCCGGCGGCCATTTTGAAAACCTGACGATCAGCTGTTTTGATCGTCGTAATGTGAAGAATCGGTCCCTGAAGCAGGGAACCGATCATCACAAAGCGAAAAAAACCCATTAAAACATTGTTTTGCGATCGCAAAAACATCATTGTGAAGCGGATTTGTCGTTATATGGGGTAATCGTTAAGTGGGGCACGATGTAGATAGTTTTGGTCTAGAATTCAGTTGCTCCTCTAATCTCCTTAGAATGTCTGCTGTAAAGACTAGTTAGATAATGTAGAGTGTTTTCATCACACAGATGTCGTGATGGAAGAGGCAGATTTTGTTTAACATGACCAGGACTAACCCTTTCATTAAGCTAAGTGAGGTGCCTGCCACAGACAGTAGATTGCAGGCAGCAAATGTCTGCTCTTCAGTGGGTGAAATGCTTGGAAATCGAGTGCCTTCTTATCCAAAATGGCTCCTCTGGTTTTGTTTACTTGACTTTTTTGTCTTCAGTTGTACCATTTGTTGCTTCTGTCCAGGCAGCAAAATTGGGCTGGTTCGGATCATCTCAATTTGCAGAGGAAAGGGAAGTGAAAAGGAGGGTACTGGTAGATGTGGGGCCCTTCTCAACGGTGACTTGTAGACCCATCAGGAGGAGGAGCCCCTTAGCACCACATTTCAGGAGAGGTGTCACCCTGTTCAGTACATAAATTGCCTCATTTTAACTACAATCCCCATAATCTCAAGTCAGTGCAAGGTTTAATACAAGGTGTAACCTATTGAAGGCATCCATACCTTGGCAATGGAAGTAAAGTTTTGAACCAGGGATTTCCTGACTCATGGCTCATGCTCTGAAGAACCATCTAGATATCATGAAGATAACTGCAATGCCCTGCCAACTAAAACAAGCAAATAACAGTTTAAAGTTGGCTGAAAATCTGATGAAAAGCAATTGGGAGTGGGGTGGATCTTAGCCTTTCTGGTCTTTCTTTATCCACCCCACCCCACAAGGTTTGTGTGCAGAGGACGTGTTGTGCCTGCCTTCTCCAGTCTGGCCCTTTGGCATGGTTTTTTTGTGACAATTGCTAACCTTTTAAAAGTTAGTAAACAACGATAAAGAAGCTGGAGGCACTTCAAATACTAACATGTGAACTGCTGAAATGTTTAGTAAACAATTGTTGCTAAACATGGTAGCTTTTGTGGTCCTGAGCCATAGTGTGAAAAATAATTTTTGAAAGTTACTGTTTGTTTATTGCTTATTTGAAGTATTCATAAATTGGTTTTCTGCTCACTAGAGTTCTCTAAGTGATATTCAACAAAAGGTTAAAAAAATCAGAAACAAAACTTTCTTTAAAAATGGACTAAAACGATTTTTTAAAAGCCACAGCTTAACAAAATAGCACAGTTATGACCAGCTTCCCAGAAGCTCAACAAGACGCAGCTACTCTGATTTCCTTTAGGAGGGAATTACATGACCGAGTTGGTACTACTATGAAAAAAAGTCTGTCCTCATGTACATGCCAGTCTTAACTTCAAATTCCAGGCAGGCTCATATGCAGTGAGGTCGTATTTTTGGTCACGTGTTTATATGCAGTTTAATTGCAGATGCAATTAACTATAGTTATCTTTCCATTACACTTGCAAGAGCCTGTTCTTGGCTTATTCCTCAAAAGCAATTACTTAACATTTATTACTTTTTAAAGCATGCCACTGTGTGAGGCAGCATACAAAACAATATTTGAATGATGAGATATTCTTTCTCGGCTATTTAAAGAGGCTACTTACTATAATGATAAATGTACATAAAATTGTCTTGCATAAAATACGAAGCTATCTCATGTCAAGTTGCAAGGATTGTGTAACTTAGTAGCACCCTTTGTTATTGGGGGGGGGGGAGAACTAATTTCCAGTACTGGTAATTTGTATTATTATGTGTACTGAAAGTTATTTCCAAGTTCTTCCCAGAATCCACTTATTGCTACCTTCCTAACCATGAGACTGTTAACTGCCCAGAACGACCTTGTTAGCCAGATGGATTGTATACAAATCAAA